CCCTGTGTTCATCCACAGCACTCTTCATTTCATCTCTGGCCAGGCTGTTGTAGGAATGGGGGCATTTCTGAAATAACTGCTTGGATCACTACTATAAACCTACACATGATGTGCAAACACTGAGATGTCACGTTCGTGAGGTATAATCTTTCTTGTTTTCTTCCTTATGGTTCAGTCATCCCCAGAAGCTTGTCTTTTCAAGCTCACAGATTCTGAGACTACAGATAACTGCAGTAAAGGTGATAAATGCCTAGGCTTAATTACAGCTCAGGCTTTCTCTGCATCCCTAAGAGAGATGTCCTGGCTGCCATTTCTAATCCTGCTCTATAGCTCAGCTCATCTATAGCTTTTCTACAGAGAAACAGGACTTTCTATAAGGAGGCAGGCAGTTCCTGTGCCCTCTGTCTGGCCCCCCCAAATCCCATGCTCCAGCATATTTCATGTGCTTCCAGTGATGCACCCTTAGAAATGTTATAGGTTTGTCTCTGCTGGTTAGCTTTTATATATGCAAAAGCAAACTCCAGGCTGTGCCAGTACCTCCTGTCCAGGTCCCTGTCTGCCTGGAGAAATGGTCGGTCACATTGTTTAATGGGTCTCCAAGCATACGCTTCCTAGCATTGACTATAGGGTATGCAAACACTAATACAGAGGTTGAGTGTAAAAATGTCAGTCTCAAAAGGCTGTGTAAATGGACTTATAGGGTAATTTCAGTATTTATCAAGGGATGTTCATTGACAGCAATAAAATCATGAAATGCAAAATGCTGTTTGCAGTTTGCACCTGTATAAGCAGGAGGGCTTCAACTTACATTTGCCTTGTTGCTTCGTAAATCACTGCAAAGGTATTTCCGCGCGCAACGCCTGCCGTAGCGGGGTGAGTGCCCTGCAGAAAGCCCCGGGCGAGGGCTCAAAGGGCAGCGTTTTCCTTTTGTTTTGCTCTAATGGAAGACTTTTTTTTTATGGCTGACACCTGAGAGCTTTATAGCAATAGTTCGAGATAAGAGGGTGCGGAGGGGAATTCTCTGAATGCAAAACCACGGGGTGCCACAGCAGCACTGAAACCGGACCCTGGACATCGCTCAACCTCTCCTTCCTCCTTCAAATCCCTCTCCTAAATTCAGCACCTCGCAGACAGCCTTCGAGACTCCCTGAGCCCTCATTCCACAGCCCTCAAGTTGTCCTCCGCTGCAAAAATAGAGGGGTTAAAATCTCTGCCTATAAAAACAAGCCTATCTAAAGGAACTAGCCGTATGGTTGGCTCAGCAAAAACAGATAACATTCCTGGGCAAGTTATTCTGGCATAAAATAGAGTTGAAAACTCCTGTAAGTTTCTTGGGGAAAGCTGAGATCCATGAGATCCAGGGTTTCTGCCCGGGGAGCAGGGGCAGAACCGGGCCTGTTGCTGGCAGGTCAAGCAGCTGGGAGATGATTCCCTTGGAGGGGCCTCAGCTCACCACATGATACCTGTGCCACAATCCCTCAAGCTTTTCTTTCTGACTCGAGTGCCCGGCACTGCACGGAGGTGTTTTCACACACTGATGTTTCTAACCTGCAGCTTTTGGCCAGAATCTCAGAGCCTTGTCCCTGCAGGCACGAGGAAGCGCCAGGCACAGCGCAGGAGGGAGGCCGGCCTCCCCTTGCTCCTGTTACAGCCGGTTTTGACACGGAAGGGCCAGCTGATGCGGAGTGAAGGGGGCAGCGATGAGGCATTCAAACTTCCCTAGGCACTGAAGTCACCTCTGACCTGGCCACAGAGGGGAGGGAAAGAAGAGGAATACCTGCCCGCTGCTGCCAAGAAAGTTTCCCACCCTCTGCTGCCAGGAGGCCCAGCTGTCGGCGGCTCAGCTGCCCGCGCAGCCGTCCCCGTGCCGCTTGGCAGCGCGGGGCCGCGGCACGGAGCTGCACCGAGGCCGTGATTCCCAACCAGCTCAGCTCAGCCACTACAAACTTCCTTAGGAAAGCAGGACTTTGGGGAAAACAAAAGTGTGTATGTCTTTATGTGGCTCCTGATAAATGTGTAGGGGTGAAATTCTGGCTCAGTGGGCTGCAAATGAGGGGAGGATTTCAGCCAAACACTTAAAAAAAAATAAGGCAGTGCATTGCAAATCAAAAATTGGAACACACTGAATTTAATGTGATTCCTTGCCATTGCATGCAGGGGGTATTATTCATTTTCTTATGGAACTCAATGGAAACCTTTGCCTTTTACATTCCCCTGAAGTGCAGAATTTCCAGCCTGTTGTTGCACACGTGCAAAGGGCCCTGCTTTGGAAATAGGGTCTCCCTCCCCAGCAGCAGGCATAGGTGAGGCACCCCGGCAGCCACCGTAGAGCACAATTCACATGCAAGCACTTTATAGTCAGCAATTAGCAAAAATGTGAAAGCTTTCTACAAGACACTTAACGGAGAAAATATTACAGCTGTTGATTAAAACAGAAGATAACATACTGAGTACAGGCAGTACAGTATAGGAGCAAAGTGATTTTATACAGTACGTGTAGGGGCTTTGGCTTGAGTCTGAGGGTGAGATATTTATTGCTTGTACAGTTGTGCGATAAATTATTGGCAAGTAGAAGCACAGATGGCTTTCCCTTAAGATCAGGCATCACATGCCACAAATTATCTGGGAAATTGTCATTTTAAAAATAACTCCAGAACAAGTGCCAAGCTGAGAGGCATATCAGTGTCTAATAAACAGATATAAACACAGCGGCGCCCAAGACGAAAGTGTATTTGGATTAAACTATGGCTAGGAAGAGTGTGTACAATTAGTACCTATTCTCTAGTAGTACAAATTAAAGCTTTTCACACTGTTTCTTCTGTGTCCCTCTAATCAAGAAATTCATATAGTGGTTTTCGAGGCGCGTATTGGAGCTGGACTGAATGGACTGAATAGTCACGCGAGATTCTTGCTTTACTGCTCAAAAAAAAAAAACATCCCACCAGAAGAAAGGTAAGCGCATCTGCAGGCAGGCAGCATTTTAGCTGGTTTCCGAGGTGGTGACAAGCGCAAGCCCTGGGTTACCCGGGCCTGGGAGCAGCCACCGCTGCTGCCACCTTCTCTGGGAGAGGCACGTGCTTCACACCTGGGCTGCTCCCGCTCTCAGAACGCGCTAAACACCCCGCTGAAACCCCCAGTGTCTGTGCCAAGCGGCAGGTCCGCTCAGCAGCAGTGAACAGATGGGGGCAGCAGGGCCCCGACGGCATTTTCCGCCTCCCGCCCTGCGGCTTCCTCCGGCGGGCAAAGATAAGCGGGGAGCCGAGGGCGCTCGCTTATCGCCCACACGCCTCGAGGGGGCCGGGGCTGTTGCTGAGCAGAGCCAGGGCAGGCTGTTGGAATGCGCCGCGCGCGGCCCAGCCACCCGTCACCTGTCCGAGTCCGTCCTCGCGTCGCTCGCTTATATGGGCACGGAGGAGCGGCACCGCGTGACGTCGGGGCGCTAAAAACAGCCCCGGCTGGCGGTGGCCCCTCGCTCGAGCGATGTCCCCCGGCGAGCGCAGCACGCAGAGCGGCTGAGCGCACCGCGCAACCTTGGATCTATTTCAAGGGAAATTAACCCGGGAAGACACCGGCAGCGCCGTGGTCCTGAGCGTATGCCCCTGGAGAAGCTAGGCATGAGCACCTCCCTGAGCTACAAGTCTTTTTCCAAAGAGCAGCAAACCATGGATACTTTGGAGAAGCAGCTGATTTGCCCTATCTGCTTGGAGATGTTCACGAAGCCCGTGGTCATCCTGCCCTGCCAGCACAACCTGTGCAGAAAATGTGCCAGCGACATTTTCCAGGTAGGTTTATTCCAGCAAAAGCTACTCCTGTAGGTACCAGCACCCTTGTTTAAATGGGTGGAAAGGCACAATTTCCTTTGTGCTTGACTTGATTCTGTTACTATCTGGTAATGCTGGAGCCAGTGGTTTAAAGCAGAAGTTGCCCTTAGGAAACATTCTCAAGGTCCCCATGGGGCTTTGGGTGGCTTGATCTTGGCAGTGGGGGGAAAAGAGGGGAGGGAGAGGGTTGTGCACTGGTTGCATTGGTCTGACATGAGCCGGGTGCTTCGGAGGTTGCCCCGTGCTCTGAGAGTGAACACTATAGTCAGAGCATCTTTGTGAGGTTTTACATGTCCTTACTCACCTCTCCTTGTCCTGCTTGGCAAGAACAGGCCTCGAACCCCTACCTGCCAACGAGGGGCGGCACCACGGTGGCTTCGGGAGGTCGCTTCCGCTGCCCTTCCTGCAGACATGAGGTGGTCCTCGACCGGCACGGCGTCTACGGGCTGCAGAGGAACCTCCTGGTGGAAAACATCATCGACATATACAAGCAGGAGTCCACAAGGTAACCAGGAAATTTGTACCCCTAGAAGAGGTTGTGCCACAGAAACAGACACAGTTTAGGACACTGCGGTGTCCTTATGGTCTTTCCGTTTGTCGGATGTGAGGTTTCTTTAGTTATTTTATCTCTTGGCAAATAAGGCAATGGCTTCTGCTGCTACACATGCCTGTCCGTTTGCTGTGCAGTGAAGTCAGCTGTTACCGAACGCAGAAAGTTCATAGAGCTCCCAAATAGATGTTGAATTTTCCCACTTCCACTTATAGAAAAGGATTGTGCCATCCTAACCCACATGAGCTGTACTTACACGTGCAAGCAAAGCTTTCAAGTCAGTATAGGTTATTTTCATAACTTCGGAAAAACTAGCTGGTTTCACATCATTTGTTTTATGAACTGTTCAGATGGATGCATCTGTGTTTAATCTGTGTGTTCTCATGCTATGGAGGGGGAAAAGGTTGCAAATCTTGTCAGAAAATCCCAAGGAACAAGCAGAGCAAACAATAAGATAGCTGAGGTAGGCGCAGGATATACCCCACATTATAATAGCAAATCGTAACTCAGTCAAAAATCTCCAATCCTATCAGATTGGCATGTGTCCTGAGGAAATTAAGTCTTATTTAAAACTTTGTATAAAAGAAGTAATAGCCAGAAATAATCATGTATTGGTGCCGTGTGGTGGTGTAAGAGAGTCGCAGTGCAGAGGAGTGGGTTCATCCTATAAAGTAAGACTGTTCCTGAACATCAGTGGCTAGAAATGGGTTGGCAACCCATCCAGCAGTGGAACAATGTTGGGTCCTTATCTCTCTTGCTGTGGGATCAGTTCGAACACATGCTGAGGATGCGGGGAGCACACTAAGTGTGAAACTAAATGTGGTCCCAGGCCACCAAGCAAGCAACTCCCTAGGCAAGGGCGAGAGCCTCTGGTCACCGGCGTGCTGGTGAATTGCAAGGGGTTTTGGACACCTCGCCCTGCCTGAAGGAAGACAAAATCCCGACCATGCTCCCTGACAGCCTCCCCGCCCCCCAGGAAGGAGCTGGGTATCGCGGGGTATTGCCGGATAGCGGTGGCAACAGGCTCACTGGAGCAGCTGGGCACAGCCAGCTGATCCTGGTGTCCTGTGCAAGGACATCCGATGGCTTGAGGTGTCCTACCCCTTTCCCGCAGAAGGCCACCTGCACACAGTGTGTTTTGGAGCCCAGCTGTGCCTTTGGCTATTCTTGGCTGTTTGTATCCCGTTGGGCTCTGCTGTAGCTGGACGCAGCTTGGAGCTCCAAAACACCAGAGAGCACGAAGCAGGCTTAAAAATGTCCTTTCTGCTGCCCTTAGCACTCTGTGCCAAGGGAAGGTCAGCTACCCCTGTGTCACTGATATCCAAATAGTATTTTAGTCAGGAAAATCCCTGAGGAAATGAATTAGCAAAGCTGGATTTTGCTTTTGACTAAACAAGCTGGACAAGTGAGTCTTCATGTCTTGATTTTTTTTTTCAACTGAGCGTTGTGCTTATCTTAAAAAAAAAAAAAAGGAAATATAGCTCCTTTTTATTTTCCATTTAGTTGATAGACAATTGGCACAAAATCCAGTTACATGAAAATATAAGACATCTGCTGGGTTTTCTTTTTAAGCTCCACTAAAGTAAAATGTAGAGGGAGTAGAACAAAATGTATATCTGAACATGTATTTCTTAGATATATGTCCAAAAGGTTTGTTTAATCTACTACAGTGCTTTTTTTACATTAATTATCAGGGTTACTTAGCAGCAGCGATGATAACAGCGTTATCTGAACTATTTGCCACTCTGAGGCCTCAGCTGCTTATCTCCTTCTGCCTGGCATTCCTCAGGCACCCGTGAGCGTGTGAGCAACATCTGCTGTTGCTTTGTCCTGCGTCGCTCCACTGAAACCAGAAAGCCAAGAGAAATCGAGCCTGCTCTGCTTCTTCCTTCTGCGCCATTTTCTTTCAAAGTTTTAGCAGAGGTACATAAGAAGAGTGAGGTATAACTTTTGCATCCTTCTTCCTTTCCAAGATGATCCTCCAAAATAGCAGGTCCTGTGACTTTCTGACAGGACCCTCTTTCCCCTCTAGTGTTCCTGTAGATAGAATTCACCATAAATGTCCATGTCAGGACCATGCCAGCTCTTAGCTGCTTTTCACATGAACTTAAGAGAGTAAGATTAACTCATACATCGTGCAGGCTTTGTTTCTCATGTAGGAAAAAATCATTTATTTTGAAAACAGTATTTTTTTTTTTTAGTTTTCTATTTGAATTAAGACATGGTTCTTTCAAAAATAAAAACTGGGGCAGGAGCTGTGTGATCAGATTGGGAGGCTCTGCCCAAGCTCTCACATACAGCCCCTGTTATTACTAACAACCACATCATATGCTCTTTTTCACATTGCTCATCATTTCCAGCCGATGACAACTTAGCTTGCTGCCCAATTTAGAATCTATGAACAACGCAAGGAAAGAAATATTCAAGTAGGACGTGGCTGCTACAATGCTTTAAAGGAGGGAAAGCATTGAACCCAGTAGAAATGGGGTTGACTAAAATATTAAACCAAAGTTTGAAAGTGTCTAGGCCACCTTAACTTTTTGAGGAACTTCAAGGTGCCTGCTGCTGCTGGAAAAGGAAAACTGCAGGAGGCTGCAACTTCCAGCAAGCTCTAGCAGCATCTAATGAGCTCTGTCAGCTATTGTGGATCAAAGGGTGCTTTGAGCTTTTGTTCCGAGCTGACTCCTAATTAGGGAGGGTCAGCACCCTCTCTCCCTGGGGAGAGGCCTGTGCAAGTGCTGGCCTAGAGTGCAGGGAACAGATGTAGGGCTTTGTGCAGCTCGTGCAGGAGAGATTGGAAGCTGTGCAGGCGCTGCAGAGGTGGCAGTGCAGTGTGGTGTGGTGGGTCAACTGTCTGGCACTGCTGAGGCCTCTGACTGCTCCAAGAGAGGACACAGCTCCCTAGGAGCAGGGCTGTGGGGAGAGGCCTGGGCACGTGGCCAAGACTGGGGCAGGGGAGACGGGCTGCTCGCCTGTAGCCAGGGAGTGCTGGTGGAGGGTCTGTGTTTCGCAAAGGAGCTGCAGAAGCTGGTCATGATGCTGCATCAGAGATGACAAGAGGGAGATCAGCCAGATCTTCTCGGAGTCCTTCAGTGACAAGAGCCCAGACTCCTGGCAGCAGCAATGGAGGGGCAGGCAGAGTCTTGTGGATCAGTCTCCCAGCTCACTTAGAGACTCCTGTGGTGGTGAAGGCTGCAGGCTGGTGGCTTCTGGCAGGTGAAACCCTGCTCTGCCAGCAGAGCAGTGACAGCAGAGTGGAATGGGCTGCAGATGGGACTAGAAGCTCTGTCCCACATTTGGATGAAGCACTGGAGGCAGCTGAGGCCAAGGCCTGCAGCAGCACCAGGAGGAAGTGGTGGGAGGTAGCAGCGGGAGACTCCCTGGGGATGGACCAGGGATGGAGACCCGCTCTGCTGACCCAACCTGCTGGCTGGGGAGGTTTGCTGCCTGTCGGGGCTTGGATCCAGGATGTAATGGAGAAGTTGCTAAGGTTTGCCTTGCCTCCTGCTGCTCTTCCATGTGGGCACCAACAATACATCCGAGAGAGACCTGGGTCATATCAGATGTGACTATGTGGCCTTGTGGGTGCGGACCAAAGACACGGGGGCCAGGTGATGTCCTGCCAACAAGGGAAAAGAGCTTGGATTTTGCTGCTCAACAAATGTTTGTGCAGCTGATATTGACAACCAGGGATTCAAGTTGTATGGCCATGGGACTCTCTTTTAGCCAGGAAGATATGAGATCCACATGACCAAGTGGGGCAAAATTCTTTGCCAGCAGGCTCCCAACCTAGTGAGGAGAACTTCAAGCCAGGAGCAACGGTGAGGAGGGTTGAAAGGTGATAACAAGCCAAAATGAAGTGAGGAAGTGGTGGATCCAGTTGGCAATCAAAGGGTGCAGGAAAAAGAGATCTTACAATCAGCAGAATGGGGCAGAAGGAAGCCCACCCCAAGTGATGCCCCAGGCAAGGAAGTGCCAAGAGGGCAGCGTTGTGGGGAAAGCTCACACGCCTTCTCTGGGGAATGTCGAGCTGCCTCTCTGTGCATTGATGCCTGTAGCATGCGGAGCAAACAGGAAGAATTAGACATCTACATCCAGGTGCCCTGGGATCACAAAGGCTTGGTGGGGTAGCTCACACAACTGGTGCGCTGCAGTGGATCAACACAGGCTGCTTAGGAGGAACAGGCTGGGAAAGCAAGGAGAGGGATTTCTCCTTCTTTTTAAGAATGCATGGAGCTCTGCAGAGCAGGGGCAGAGCTCTGCTGGGGCAGAGCTGGCTCTCATGGAGGGCTTTAACTTGATGTCAGCTGGAGAGCTAACGCAGTAGGGCAGTCTAGGATATCTCTGGAGCACATTGATGACAATTTCTTGACAAAAGTGATTAAGTCAGAAGTGAAGGAGTATGCTCTGCTGGACTTGGTGTTTACAAATAAGGAGGGACTGATGAGGGATGTGTACATTTGGGGGTAGATGTTCAACTGCCATGTGAAGAGAAAGCAGGGTAAAATGCAGGATCACAACCCTGCACAACCCTTCAGGAGAGCAGGTTTTGTCTTGTTCAGAGACTTGCTTGGAAGAATCCAATGGAATACAGCCCTGGAGATAAGAGGCATCTGGGAGGACTAGTTACTGTCAGGACTCACTTTCTCCAATCTCAATAACTCTTGAGTTCCTAAACATGAGGATAGACCAAAGATGGCAAGAGGCCTGTGAGGATGGACAAGGAGCTTGTGAAAAAAAATCAAATGTAAAAAGGAAGCATGCAAGAGGTGGAAGCAGGGAGAGGTGTCGCAGGAAGAACGCACTGTCTGAGTGTGCAGAGATGGGATTAGGAAAGCCGTAGTCCACTTAGAGTTGAATCTGTTAGGGGATGCAAAGGGCATTAAGAAAGGCTTCTACAAGCATTTTAGCAGGAAAAAAGGAAGGGAAGGGAAGCCCTAGTGCTGAACAGGGCAGGGACGCTCATGACAAAGGACACAGAAAAGGCAGAGATACCCAATGCCTCCTTTGCATTGATCTTTGCTGGTAAGATAAAGGAAGCCTTCAGGAATCCTAGGTCTCTGAGACCAAAGGTAACATTTGGAACATGGAAGAGTGCCCTTGGTGGAAGGGGATCAGATTAGGGAACATATAAACAAAGCATTTAAAGAAAGTGGATATAAACAAGTCCGTGGTCCCTGATGGGATGCACCCAGGAGTGCTGCTAGCTGTCTGGTGTCATTGCAAGGCCACTCTTATCCTTGAAAGGTCATGGGGACTGGGAGAGGAACAAGAGGACAAGAAGAAAGCAATTGTTATCCATATCTTTAAGAAGGGCAAGAAGGAGAATCTAGGGAACTACAGTCCAGTCAGGCTTCACCTCGATTCCTGGGAAGGTGAGGGAGCAAATCAGTCGGGAAGCCTGGAAGTCAACACAAAAAGGACAAGAAGTTCAGGAAGGATTTATGAAGAGGAAATCACGTTTGACCAAACTCATAGCCTTTTACAGTGAGATGACTAACTTGATAGATGAGGGGAGAGCGGTGGATGTTTATCTAGACTTTTGACACTGTCATCCATAACATTCCTATAAGCTGAAGAAACATGAACTAGATTAGATGCATCATGAGGTAGACTGAAAACTGGCTCAACTGCCAGTCTGAAAGGAGAGTGATGAGCAGCACCAAGTCAATTTGGAGACCAGTCACTAGTGGTGCACCCCAGTGGTCAGTACTGAGGCCATTTAATATTAATGACCTGGATAATGGCACAAAGGCATAAGCAAGTTTGTAGATGATACAAAACTGGGAGAAGAGGCTGATGCACTAGGTGGTTGTGCTGGCACTCAGAGGGACCTTGAGAGGTTGGAGAAATCGGCTAACAGGAACCTCATGAAGTTCAACAAAGGGTGACACCAAATCCTGACCCTGGTGGGGAATAACCCCACACAGAAATGCAGGATGGAGAGCAACCAGCTGGAAAGCAGCTTGCCAAGAAAAGAACTGAGGCTCCTGGTGGAGCATAAAGTGACCGTAACTCAACAGTGCACCCACGTGACAAAGGCAGCCAGAGCCTCCTGGGCCACGTGATGAACAGCGCTACCAGCAGGGTGAGAGATGCAATCCCGTGCTCAGCATTGGTGAGGACACTTCTGGAGTGCGGTGTCCAGGTCTGGGCTCCCCAGCACAGGAGAGGGATGGAGCTACCGGAGTGAGTCCAGCAAAGGGCCATGAAGATGATTAAGGGACTGGAGCATCTCTCCTACAAGAAGAGGCTGAGAGAGAGCTGGGACTTACAGCCTGGAGAAGACCCAAGTGAATCTTATAAATACCCAGTGGAATCCAATGGAGTAAAGAAGACAGAGCCAGGCCCTATACCATGGTTCCCAGAGAAAGAAAAGAAGTAACAGACACAGATTGAAATAAGGAAATTCCACTTAAACATAAGAGATCTTTACTGTGAGGGTAGTTAAGCCCTGGAGCAGATTGTCCAGAAAAGCTGTGGAGTCACCAGCCTTGGAGGTATTCAAAACCCAGCTGGATGCACTCTTGGGCAACCTGCTGCAGCTGACCATGCTCTGAGCAGCTGCTTGGACTAGGTGATCTCCAGCGGTCTCTGCCAACCTCAGCAATCCCGTGATCCTGAGGAAGGAACAGTCTGTACATGCCTGCTTTATTTTACCCTTTCCCTCGGCATCTCAGAGTTGCTTAAAAGAATGCTGTGCCCCACTGAGGTTTCTCTGAGCACAGATAGCAGCTCCTCTCATGAAGATTGAGAGGAAATCCTAGTTATCAAGATCAACTCAGTAAGTTTAACTCAAAGCCTAAAAACCTACTGGGAACAGAAGCAGCTCAAACTTTGCTATTTTTTCCTCCCGTTTGTAACAGGAAGTGTCCTAAAATCCCATAAGACACTTCTGTCAAAAATAGTCTCTTTAACTGAGCAGTGACAGATAATAAATCTAACAAGAAATTTGATCTAAACGTGTTTTCATAAACTTTTTGCCTCCCCCAGAGCCACACAGGTTGTCTCCATCCCCCAGTCAGGAGCAAGAGTTACATGATGGGATGGTTCAAGATGGGCCACAATTCTCTCAGGATCCTCTTTAAGACCATTTGCAATGTTGGTTTCAGTAGAGACCTTATAGTTTTTATAAATCTTCCCTTCCCTTCCCTTCCCCAAAAGCCTCTGATTAATGAATTCATCCATTTATTTTGTATGGTAAAACATATTCCTGCAAATCTTATTCATATAGCTAAGGGATGTTAGGGGATGTAAGCAATGGGTATGGAAAACTTGCATATTGGTGCAGTTTAGGGCAGACCTGGCCAAATATGTTAATATACACAGTCACATGCTGCATAAAGATAGAAGTTCCTTATCATTTCAAAAGAATTAGCTCTTAAATGAGAGAGTAATGGGAATATGAGGTCCTAATCTTCATTTGATACAAATCTACATAAATCCATGTCTAGCTGTAATTACTTTAACTCTTTCTATGCCCCTTATTAAAGTGTGCTCATTTATGCACAGCAGCTTTGCTTTTCCTCCTCTTCACAACTCATGCACAAAACTCTGCGCACTGAAGTCCAAATCCTGTTCTCACACAAAATGAGACTGTAGCAGTCAGATGCACGCTTAGTATGTTAAGCAGTATGAGTAGTACTTGCAGTTTCTCTTCAAGCAACAACCCTAGGACCTTGTCCTGCAACCGAGAAACCTCCTTGGAGGTCAGGGAAGAAGAGCTCAAAGCTATCAGGTCATTTAGCTACCTGCAACTTCTTTGGTCACAGCTACACCTGTGATGAATCTTCTTCTGCTGCAGTCATTTTCCTACTGTCTACTCTGCCAACTTTCATTTTAGGAGTAGGGTAGTATTTTGACCATGTAAATCTAGAGGGTCTCCTCAGAATGTGCCTCCTCAGGGCACATTCCGTAAATCTGCAGCAGTTTAACAGACTGTGACCCAGGATCTCCTGCTAGAAATCTCTCCTTTTGCAAAGCCTAGGAAGGAAACCTGTTTGTTTGTAAGGGGATGTAAAACCTTCTGTCACTGCTTTCGGCACCCCGACGGTTCAGGGAGTTCTGCCAGGTTTCTTCCAGCTCTTTGAGGTACCTTTGAAGGTTGGCTACTTCTGCTGAACTTAACTTGACACCATTGCCTTTTTGCCCCGTGCTGTCGTTCATTCTAGTGGCATGGTTCCAGTGACAAATAACATGCTAGTAGTTTCTCATCTTGTAAATATTTTCAGGAAGTGTAGCTATTTCAGGCTTAATCAATCATTTTCAAGTTCATTGTCCGTTACTGTCCCAGCATGCAGGTCCTCCCGCTGGTGCTCTATAACATGGAAATATTTGCGGACAAACAATGTAAAACATTCTTTACAGTGAAGACACACCTCTTCTAACTAACATTAATATGAGGCTGATTTCGAAGCACTGAGTGCCTTATGTAAATGTGTGCTGAAAATCTATACCAAATAATACAGGTTTCCTTCAGAAATGCCCAACTTGTTTTATCATAGTATGTTGTATAGTGTATTGAAGATCACATATTTTCCTTAAAAATCCTTTTAATTCCAGCACTGTCTTTAAATTAAAAAATATGAATGATATGTTCTTTATTGTTTGATCTTTCTTTATACTCATTAGATTGATTGTTGCTTGATCTTTTCTATATTAATTTAATTGATCACATCCCATTTTTAAGATCAGAAGAAAAAATCTGTGCTCTGTCATTAAAAGGTATTGACGGCTATATCCACTCTACCAAACTACGAAGAATTCTGCTGTAACACTGTATAAAATACTGGTCTTTCCATACATATTTTAAACTTGTGATGGGATGATTGGTTGCCTCCTTGATACAGTATTCTGTAAGATGGCTTAAAAAGCATAGGAATTACTTCTCTTTAATTCCTTTTAATTCTGTAGTTCTTGCCGTGCACGTGCTCGGGGTGCTGAGGCTGGAGCTCGGGCTCAGAGAAGCACCAGCCTGCTATGCAGCCTGGACCAGAGCTTTTTCTTAGGCTGAGGATGCTAGTTAAGTAAGTGACTCGTTTAAAGCAGGTTCCAACTGAATCTGTTCCTGAGATAGCAAGGACTGACATACATGTGTATGGCTAAATCGTTTTGGTAAAAGGGAGATCAAAACTGAGCTGCAGTCTAGCAGCAGAGCTCCTGGCTCAGCACAGGCAAGGACACACTCCTGTGCAGCACATACCTCGGTGGCTGGTACAGCTGAGTTGTTAGACACTGCAGAAAAGCTTGAGTCCATATTTTGGTTGAGAGAGACTATGGTCGCTCTCAATCCTGTTTGTTACTGACAACCCTGACTGCAACATGCAAAGCACATAAGCAGAGAGGATAGGTAAGCGCATGAAGGTCCATGCTCTCGTTTCAAATTAGACTCCCACGTAAGAGCTTTGTTGGATCAGGCCAAGTACGGATGAATTTCCATGATTAAACCTAAAGCAATAAATATGTTTCTTCATTCAGAAGTTAGACAACATCCTAACTTAAAGTACGTGGGTAGACCAAGGAGACCATCTGAGGAGGTTAATAACGGAGTGTCGAAAGCCTTGCTGAAGTCAAGGTAAACAACATCACCACATATTGTCACCATATCCTACTGTGTCATAGTATTTAACCATACCTCTGTCTATTTTGTCACCCTGTGCAATAGGTTTAAGTCTACAGAGTGTTCAGTTCAGTTCAGTTTGGGACACAGCTATATATATCATATGTACGTAACATATAAATCATGTAGACCTCTCTCTATGTATATAATCTACATGAACTCTAATTCATGATGAGAAACTCGTGATGAGGATCAAGGTTTTATTTAATTTATTTAATTTCTTTTGCAGACCTGAAAGAAAGTGTGACCAACCAATGTGTGAAGAGCACGAAGATGAGAGAATTAATATCTATTGTTTGAACTGTGAAATGCCCACCTGCTCCTTGTGCAAAGTCTTTGGTGCCCATAAAGACTGTCAAGTTGCTCCTCTCACAAACGTTTATCAGAGACAGAAGGTAAATATCTTTTTGTATCTCATAATCTTCCCAGTGACTCACAGGACCATTCATAGGAAGGTATTCCCATGAGCTTCCTGGGAGTTTCCAGAAGGGCCTGGGGGAAAGGAGGGTCTTTTCCATTCCTGTTTGTGAACGAAAGATTCACAAGCATTTAGAAGCTCTCTATTTAGAAACATGGTGAAACATTTTAAGAGAAAGATATTACAGTGTCCCAATTTGTCATTAGCATAATGAGTAAACATTTTAGACAGAAGTGTGATATGAAGATGAGGATCCTTCTGAGGTTCCCAATTTCATTTTTTCTCAGTACTTTTAGATCAGCAAAAAAATAAAATAAAAGCAGGATTTTCAGCATATGTGATGGGAAGAGAGAAGCTCATTACAAATCTTACAAATCAAATAATAGAATAGTAGGTTCTTTCCTCTATAAGAGTCCGCTTTTTTAAGAAATGGGAAGTAAAAAACCTTCCTTGCAAGTGAATGTAGGAATATTCAATAGTTGGCAGCACAGGATGTACCTAACATCCTCTGCCCTTGCTGTCACCAGTAAAAGACTTGCTTATTTTTAATACTGTATTAATTTAAAACCTGACTCACTGGGTTATCCTCATGAGATAAACAGCTCATTTTTCTGGAGGGCCCCAGTGGGGCAAGCAATCAGACAGGCCAACTCTACAATGCCAGCCTCCAACTTTGTCACACAGCTGCTTGCGTGTGTACAAACTACAAATGAGAAGTTACTTTAGGAAAGTAGCTACAAGAATCAATCAAAAAGAAGGGAGAAGAAGAAGTTTCTTGGATGGAATCCATGCCCCAGTCACTCCTTTCTGTGGAGATTTGCAAGCACTGGTTTCCCGCCTAGCATATCTGTGGAAAGGGGAAAGTGGAGGTACCTGCAGCTTAGCACAAGCATTGGCAGCAATTAGCAAGGTCTTTGTGAGTTTGGAAGGTGTTCAGCCCGGCCACCAGACACTCCCCGAGCAGATGGGAGGTAATTCAGTGTGCAGATAGTGATCTTCAAATAAAGTTTTGAAGCCGTCGTGCATAAGACTGGAGAAATAATCCAGAGGCTGAGAGATGTGTGCTTTAAAGGATCCTTTACTAATGGTGTTACATCTGCTGGAGGTCACAAACACTTGTCTCTATAGCTAAGTCACTATAGGGTTTACCAAGGGCTCTTCATCTTCCTTAGCCCCTTCACCAAGTTCTCTGAGGACCAGCTTCTCCACTCCTCCTCAAAGGAGGTCCCATAACCATCCTCATCCCCACACTCAGACCTTTCCCTTCTTGCCCTTGGAGGAAGGACTGTTCTTCCTTCCATGCAGAGCCACCTGCCTCACCATTTTCCCCTCCTTTTTCTTCCTTTCTCCCCCAGCTTTCATTTATGTCACCCAGCTCTCCATATTCCAGCTGGTGTGAAAGTGTTTCCCTCACTCTTTCTCCATGCCACACTCTCCCATTTTCTCCATCACCCTCCCCAAGATCCTGCAGCCCCATTGCCCCTTAGGGCAACAGTTCTGTAGTGGCCACGGTCCCTGTAGCTCAGGAAGATCCAGAAACTAAAAAGTCGACCTCTCTGGAGACAAAGTCTTTTCTCTTGACAATCCCATACATATTGTTTTGGGGGTCTTGAATTACAGAGCTTTAAACAGAAGCATCTACAAGAACCTCCTGGAATTAATGCTTCCTCCTTTCCAAACCTCAGCTCCTTTGCCTGAGAAGTTTCAAAATGCCAGTATTTTCAGTATGTTTCAGGGGAGGAAACAAATGGAGAGGGTAACTTGTGGGGAGGTGAAGCTCCGGTTGCACTGGATTCTGAAGAGAAGAATGGCTAGGACAGCTCATTTAGCTACAGGCTGCTGTTAGACGTGCCACTCTGCAAAGCAAGAAGGTGGCGAGACTGCTGCCAGCACGAGGCAAGTGTTTAACCTCCCACCCGATTGCTCTCCTGTTACTGTCTAGTCCGAACTCAGTGACGGCATCGCGGTCCTGGTGGGGAGCAACGACCGAGTGCAAGGGATAGTCACGCAGCTGGAGGAGACCTGCAAGGTAGTTGAGGTAAGCGCCACAATTTTCAGTGTGATTATTTCAGTGTGAAATCTCATCTCTTAGATTAACAATAATGACTGTGCTTTAGCAGACTTTATTTTGCCCAAATAGATTCCCAAGTCATTTTGCTAAATAATTACCTGTGGACAGTAGTTCCTCAACCCAAGGATATCTCCTGCTCAGCATCCTGTTTCTCCCTGTTTCCAGGGGCATGTGATTAAGGAAGCATCAGCATTTCTTGCTCAGCATTCTCAGTTGCATAGAATGTAAGTGTAATGAAATCACACATAACAATATGCCTTCAACTCTCAGTTCCCGTAACTTCTCAAATGAGATAGTAGAGTTGTAAAAGGTCTATATTAATCTAGAGCCTAGTCCTGAGAACAAAGCCTTAATCTCAATCACAGTGTGTCTTCCAAATTTGTCAATGAGCTATGCATTTAATTACTTTGCCTATACAAAAGTAGTTCTCATATATTTATGTTGTCCTCTAAGGAGTCTTACTGTGGTGCCTATAGACAGAAAGAGTTGGGTTCTTATTATGAGTTTAGATGTTCCTGTAAAGGTCTTACTCTGACAGAGCTGGAATTAGTTTTGTGACTTTCAATACCAGAGAAGTGGCTTTCATTTCCTCGAAGAGGTTTGCAACAGCAAAGCAAATAAAAATTTCAGCTCTGGCCAATTTGAGGATCACAGAGCAGTAGGCTGAAAGGAGCTCATATGAATTGATTTTATGATCAGTGTTTGATGAAGCATCTGCTGAAGCAATTGCATCCCTCTCAGCCCAATTAGAATTCTATTGACCCTTCAGAGTTAGAGCAGAAAAGAGAAACTACAGTGAAAAAGAAGTTATCGCAAGACGTATAGGTTCTAATTGGTAAGAAAAATTGATTCCACAAGCTAAGTACACAATTGCCCGAGGTTCCTATTTCCTCAGAGCAAAGAACAGAAAGTGTCCACATTTGGTTCAAAGAATATAAGACCATTAGCCCAAGTAAATGAGAGAGGGTGTTAGCAGCAAGTCACAACTTTGTAGTCAGGAAGCCTTCACATTGCAAGGATGAAACTGGCTCCTATCAGGAGTTTGCAGACAAAAACAAGCCTTTCAAGTAGGTTGGCTGCAGAAATTTAAATGATACAAAAGCAAAAGCTTATACTCATTTAAGCTGAACTAGCTGATCCAAAAACAAAACTTCAAACATCTAGTCTTGAAGTACAGAGAAAATACTGTGCTAAAAATACCTTATTAAATACAATAGAAACTATCTGCCTCAAATTCATCCACTCGAGTAGTCAAACCTTTGAACAGCAAGCCTAAAGAAAGCAGAGTCATTTTACCTTCCATTTTTTTAACAGGCTTTCCATCTTTAAAGACAGGGATTGCAGAAAATAGAACTTAGAACTTACCTTGGCAATTCCATGTTACATTTCAAGCCAATCACATTTCCTACCATACCAGGGCTTTGTCTGCATTGACATCAGTTTGTCCTTGAAGATGAAAAGCTACAGCTGGAGCTGAGAAATGTGCACACCTGGAAATAGTGTTTATAATCCAGGATTGTCTCTTCTCTCTGCTTAACACAGAGAATAATAGAGACCCATGATATCAGAAAATACATGATCATTTTTCTTTCAGCTGTAGTAAGCAATAGCCTGCAGTTCTGTAATTTGCTATTTTTCCTGTCCAAGCTTTAAAAAAGGAGTAAAACAGAACTGATTAATATCTGCATATCTTATAACTGGTTGAAAACTAGAACAAATTCTCATATTACACCGAGAAATAAAATATATATATATATAAAATGTTAAATACTCAAAGCCAATAACAAGTAATTGGATAATGTTTAGCGATGTAATAAAAGTAGGAATAAAATAATGAAGTAAAAATTAAAGTATTTACTTTCAGTGGTAATGCCATGGGACAGTCAATACAGATAGAATACAGAAAAAGCAATACAAATCACACCCAGTGCCAAGAACACATTTCTTTTTGCTGTAGCTGTGTTTTATTAAAAAAGGCTAAATGCATGGGAACACTTCATACAGAAATATTTAAGCATTTGTGTTTAGGAACCTGTTTTGCGCTCTTGTGTTTGAAGCTAACAATTCTGTAATACCTGCTGGCAGGAAATATTATATATGAGAGCCTAGAGATAGAGAAGGACTCTCAGGGCACTTTGCCAGCGCTCTTTCTTCTTTCTCCATCTCCTGTCCTGTATCGAATGGCAAAGATAGCACACACCTGTCCTGAAATGAAGGTTATTTTATGAGTGATCTGAATGGCACTTCGGAGGAGGTCACTGTAGATCTGAGGAGGTTGCTGTAGATCAAAAATTTAAAAAACAGGAGTCTGGAAGAAGAGGAAGGGCAGGAAATCCTGTGGAGAAAAAAAAAAAAAAAACTAGGAAAGGAGTCAAAGAAAAGAAAAAGATTGTTTGGGGGTTGAATGACACCCAGGACTTAGAGTTCGCCTGGTTCCAAAGTTTCCTTAGCTCCTATAATACACTTGTGTATATTATATACACACTAGTGTATTATAATCCTATAATACACTAATCCTCCATTTTAGCCCAATTTTTCACATCTCCGTGGATGCTGGATGAATGGCCTCCTTTGACATTTTCTCCACTCCGCAGGCAGGGCCAGACCTTGGTTGAAGCATGCATCACAGGGATCTTTTTAGTGATTCCTGTCTCATAACCAGGCAGGTGCACGCAGGTGTCTGTAATGTCTCTGCTGTCCTCACGGCTCCAGTCAGCTTGTCCGTACGCAGAGCCAAGCCATGGCTGTTTCCCCTCGCTGCAGACCCAGGCAGGGAGACCATGCCAAGCAGGAGTGCTCCCAGCAGCATTGGCCTCTTCCCACCAGTGAGTACCTAAATAACAACGACTGGTCAAGCGGCCCTGTTTCCTGCTCACCTTGTCGTCATTGCTGCCTCCTCCCCACCAGCAGACCTGAGCACCACAGCATATTCAGAGCAATTTCTGGGGATTGCAAAAGACCTCAGGAGGGCAAGACTTGCCGTGAAGCCAGGCTTTGGCCTCTCATGAGTTTGAAATTAGAGATGCCTGTTTAATTTAGGGGTGCCTCTCTTCCTCATTTGGGAGCAAAGGCAGCTGATGCCAAAGGATCTCTATTTGGTCCCCTTTGTGAATGTTGAATGTGATGCTTGGCCCTATGTCCATCTTCAAAGGCATCCTTTGAAATGATACAGAGCAAACTGTCATCAGCCTCGCAGCATATTCAGAGCAATTTCTGGGGATTGCAAAAGACCTCAGGAGGGCAAGACTTGCCGTGAAGCCAGGCTTTGGCCTCTCATGAGTTTGAAATTAGAGATGCCTGTTTAATTTAGGGGTGCCTCTCTTCCTCATTTGGGAGCAAAGGCAGCTGATGCCAAAGGATCTCTATTTGGTCCCCTTTGCGAATGTTGAATGTGATGCTTGGCCGTATGTCCATCTTCAAAGGCATCCTTTGCAATGATACAGAGCAGACTATCATCAGCCTCAGGAAAGAGCTCTGGCTGAAAGGCAAGAAAAAAAGTGGAATTCTCTCTGCCTAAATGGCACTAGCAATAATCAGCCTTAACAGTTCCAAAAGTACTGCGGGACTGTTAATAATCCTGTGCTGCCAGGATCTCAGCTTTATGCCTCAAGGGCTGAAGATGAGGAATTGATTCAGCCTCAGTTCCTGAGAAAGACATTAAAATAATCACCGTCATCCACAGCGAGATAACCACAATAAGGACAGTACAGCATCCAGAAGCACGGCCTTTGCCCCGCCATGTGCCCCAGGGCACGCAGATGACTCAAATACTTCTGCTTGGAAGACCTCAGACATTACAGATAACCGGTCTCCACTGTCATCCCCGTTTACCTCCCTTACAGATGCATTGTGCTCTCCTTAGGGAGTTCTCAATGAAGCAGTCATCAAACTCATCTTCTTCACTCCATTAAAGTGGTAGAAGTACCATACCAGTGTTTCAGAAAAGGGGGTGAAAATTGGAGCCAGAAAATAGGGTTTGAATCTGACTTCCTCTCATCTTCATCCTTTCGTCACGAACCGTTTTTGCAAGGAACTCTACCTCAATCAGTGCATGGTAAAACTAATATGGTGGACACTTACTGGCAAAATAGAGTGGAAGAGCACTTAAGTAAAAAACAGGCCTAACCAAGTAGAAAAAAAATAATCTTCAGAACTTATTTGAGATGTTTTTTCATTTAAAGACTATTATATTCATGTAAATGAATCCAGTTACTAATATGGCGCTTTTTTAAAAAAAAAAACTTTTCCTGTTGACTTTCAAATAGCACTGTTGAAGACTCCTAAGTATCACTGCAGACATCATAAATACTTTTTACTGACTGAAAAGTTACACAATAGCCTGTTTGGGGGAATATCAGTGGTTTTGAATCAGTAGTTTGAAAACAGTTTTAAAACTTTTGTTCTGATAGCTTGAACTTTGAAAATTACAGAAGTCTCTGGGGTCATTCAGAATCCTTTGCACTGTTCAGAAAGGAATTTCTTTGATGAAAATGCTTCCAAGTAACAGTAAAAATAGAAACTCTTTTAAGAACATAACATGTTTAATATAAACCAAATGATTCACAGGAATCCTGCAGACGACAGAAAGAGCAGCTGTGTGAAAAATTTGATTATCTCTATTCTGTACTGGAAGAAAGAAAAAATGAGATGACACAAATAATCACTAGAACCCAAGAGGAGAAACTGGAACATGTCCGCTCCCTGATGAAGAAGTATGCGGATCATTTGGAAGCCGTGTCAAAGCTAGTTGAATCAGGAATCCAGTTCATGGAAGAACCAGAAATGGCTGTGTTTTTGCAGGTATGAAGTCTATAAATATATAGAGAAAAGGAGCAACAGGTTAATTAAAGCATTTCTTGATTTTAGGCATATTCAGGGTTTGGCCATCTTTGAATGAACATTTATATAAATTCATTTTTTAAACACTTGCATCAGCACAAATGACTAGTCTTCTTGTGATAATATCCAAACCAGGAATGTAAGTATTTGCTATTTGCACCAAAACATACTATCTTGTGTGTATCTTTCTAGTTGTCCAAATTTTAATATTTTCAGTTATGTTTCTGTTGTCCCATCACTGTCATATATTTGTGTATGGGTTTCTGAGAGTTGTAGTTTTCATTTGCATATTGAAAAACATGCTTTACTTTCAAAGAATTAAACACACATCTTCTGAGTCACGTTTTTATGCCTTCACTTCAACACTTTTTCATTTTCTTCCTAGAAAACATAACTGCTGATTAGAAAATCATTAGCAGCCTGTTCACTGAATTTATTAGTGTAGAATTTCTGTCCCGCAGTGTTATAGTTCATCTGTATCAAAGGTCGAAAAGTTCTTTTCTACAAAAAAAAAGAAGATATGCTTTCATAAATGTATTGCCTTTGAAAAGTACTATTTTTTTTCTAGGTAAATAAAATTTTGTCGCTCCAACAGTATAACCTTATGCATGGTCAAAGTCAGTTCTAGTGACCAGGGATGGTAAAGGAACAATTGCTTTTTGCTGCAAACTCAAAAAAGACAAAAATGTTTGCATTTCTTTTCTGTAGAAAATGTTCATCTTTCCCATTATACTCAGACTTTAAACAAAAACTGTTCACTGAACTAAAAGGTTTACTCATATGTGTAATAATAATTGATGAAATATGATGTCATTCATAGATGCCATGTTTGACAATTATGAGATCTCTATTAAAAAGTTTAGAAGCAGCTTGCACAAGAGTTAGATCACAGTGAATAAAATTTCTGACAAAATTGAACCATTTAAGAAGTCAATTGTTTCCTTTTTGTTTCCACAGAATGCCAAAACATTGCTACAAAAGTAAGTATTTAACTGGAGAGATAGAATATCTATTTGATCTTTACAAAGAATTACAAATTGCAAATTTATCTGCAAAGCCAAATGCAAATGACTAATATCTCATTTTAGAATTACTGAAGCATCTAAAGGATTTCAAATGGAAAAAATAGAGGACGGCTATGAAAATATGAGCCAATTCACAGTGAACCTCAGTAAAGAAGAAAAAATAATAAGGGAAATTGATTTTGACAAAGGTATGTAATTTATTTCATCTAAACTCCTTCCTTAAATTGCAGGTGTGTTATTTGCATGCTGATATTGATATTCCCTTGCATCCCAAGGTGTAACTAGACCATCTTTTAACAATTATAATCAACAGTAAAAATCTATCACAGTTCAAGGATCAAGTAATCTATTGGCACCAATAACTTTACCTTTTCTGTAACCTCAAGACTTTCTAAAGAATATGTTCATTACCGATTCCACAAGGAGGCAGGGACCACCCCTCTCTTGTGGTGAGGGGACCACAAAACTAAGCTTTTATCTCAGCCTATAAAGTACTTTTCCCTACCTCCTAACACATGCCATTACTTTATGGCACATCAGCTATGGAAAACCAATGAAGAAATAGAATGCTTACTGTTACTTACTGTTTAAAAAAGTGTTCATGAAAGACATACTTTTTTTTGTATTAATAGAGACATGTAACAGAAAGATAACTGAAATTCAAGATCAAAGAACTATGGAGGAAATCAAACCGTGTCATCATCTTTCATACATTTAAGATTCTTTACAATGTCATTTGTATGTTTGATGTTTGCCTGTGTAATAATGCAGCTTTGTTACTCCACGTTTACTGAAGTAGCCTGAAAATGATGAACCTGAAATCTAGGCTCATTTATGCTTTATTTTAGAGAATCAGCCACAAGAAATTAATGGATGTAAATTTTTCAGACAAGCAGATCTTCACTATTAGAAGGCAGCCCTAATAGTCATCTGGCCAGCTCTAATTTACTTTCTAGCACTGGGTTCTGCTGGTACATTTATACTTACTTTCTTCAGCCCAATTATGTGTAGCAGGGATGCGTATGGGACTCAGTCTACGGGCATCCGTCACATAATCCCCAGACATGATTTATATTAACTGCATGATTTATATTAGCTTTAGAGCATGTGGTTGGCCCCATTCCTGATGCAGGTAGGTCTTTCTCTGTAGTTGGGGTCCATGGACCAGCTGTACCACCACCAGGTCTGTTCAGAAGGGTGACACCCATCTCCTGGGGATGAGCCCCAAGCCATCAGGCACTTGGCCCTGCCTTCGGAACAACAGCCAAGGAGCTCCTCCATGTTCAGGGAACTTGGAAGCTGAGTTTCAGTAGTCTGCTCATAGGAGTGCATTTGCCTATAGGAATATTTCTCTGCTATGATGACATTATTTAATTTCCAGATCTGTGTTATTTCTGTGTATTCAGAGCAATGAACAATAAAACCCTGACAGCCTGTTCAAGATACACAGTTATTTTGAAGCTTGGGTTAATGCATCAATCTATGTTTATTTTTCTGAAGTACTAGGATGGCTCTGAACAACATCTGATATTTTTGAGGATGAATAACATGATTATGCAAAACAAAATGCCTTGTTAGAGGTCTCTCTCTGTAAATGAGTCTGCCCATGAATGCTAACAGTGTGATGTGTTATATGATGCTAAAGCTATGGTCTGAAAAGGTTTGACAGTCTGGTTTTAAAGAGGTTTACCCCAAATCTCCACAGGCAGTTACTGCAGAGCACTGACCCAGTAAAGATTTACTTTGATGGTTCAACTGTGTTTAAAATAAAAAGATAAGTAAAATTGCAAGAGAGACTTTTTTTTTTCCTGACAGATTGTGCCAGAGCAGTATCTTCTCACCATTGTGGAGTGCAACTCCATGCTGCAAACCCCTCAGGGGGATAATTCCATCAACACAATTTTCTGTCCTCCTTCCTATGGAAAGGGCTAGTTTTAGATTTAAAGAGAGAAAAAAAGATATATTAGCCTGTGTAAATGCAGTTTAGCATCGTGGCTAGCTCAGCATGAGGATGGCTGTGTGCTGGGTCACACTGGTACTGCCAGGCAGGCCACGGGGGCTGAGCTGGGGCAGCAGCCTGAGCTCCCGCCGCCAGGCCCCATGTGCTGGAGCGGCGGGGGGCGGTTATTGCTGCCCTGCTGAGCGTTTCTGGAGCTGGTTAACGAAGCAGAGTGCAGTGGGCTAACCCAGAGCAGAGGCTGCTGCGGCCACGCGGGGCCTCCCTCGTGCTGGCGGCTCCGTCACCATGCGCAGCGCCAGCACGTGGCTGCAGGCTCCTCGCCAGCGGCCTCTCCCCAGCGCGCGTCCTCTGCCCACCTCAGCACCCTGCTGCCCACCTCTTCTGAGCCAAGCAAAACCCGTGCTTTCCCTTGGGAAAACCCCTTGGCTGGAAGGAGAGTAGCTTTGCCAGGCAACTACGTGTGGCTTTCTATTGCATAAGGGCTGTAGCCATCTTCACGTGGTCCTTTTATGCCTGTCCTGTCAGAGGAAGAGGGCGAAGAGGAAGAGGAGGAGACAGTGGACGGTGAAGATCTGGACGAAGCCCACACAGAGTCCTCAGCAGAGGAGGAGCAGGAGGAGGAGGAAGAAGGGGCCGAGAGAGCAGCGCCAGCATCTCAGCAGGACCCCGAAGCAGCGAACGCAGCCGGGGAGCCTCGGGCCGAG